AAAAAAAAAATGGGTCTTCGAGATAACAGCTTAAGCGGTTTCTGCTCACCTTTTCTGTGGGCGCCGCAGCCGGGAGTTGAAGGGTGGTAGTAACAACCCAGGTCAGACGCATCTCTGTTTGCCCAGATGCAACAGGCAGACATAGACCCCGCTGAAGTATTCCAGACATGTAGGTGTCAAGTCGAAGTGGGTTGCTATGCCACATGTTTAGGTATTTGTGCTGCTGGAGAGCAAATCGGGCCTCAAATATGCTAAACACATGCTCTCCTTCCTAGCCACACCCACAGCCCAGTTCATTTATTTATAGGGACATCACAGTTACCTTTCAGATAGAAATGAAATCAATTGACAGGAGGTGTAATGGCTAGCTCTTGGATGATAAGGGCAGAAGGTTCAGCAGTTCAAGGTCATCTTCATCTATAGGACAGCTTGGACTACAAGAGACCCCTGTTTCAAAAATCCTAAACAATGCTGGCCAGATCACTCAGTGGGTAGAGACAACTACTGTCACCTCCCTATAGATCTAACTTGGACCCTGGAACCTACATCTTGAAATATAGGCTTCTGTGCATGCGTGCACACATAAAATAAATTATATATATATTTTTATTTTTAAGACGTCTTTTAATCCAAAACAAACACTAAAAGTCAAGGATTTGATGATAGTTGACATACATATGAGTCTCGCCTCATGCCAGGTATGCTGGCTCTTTGAATCTTCATGGTTATCCCACGGGGAAGTTATTTTGTTAGCTGTTTTATAGAGGGGGAAACTGAGGCACAAAGGGCACTCGCCATGTATAAGTTTACACAGCTAACTAGTGATGGAGCAGTTACAACTAGAGCAGTTTGCCTTGGATAGGGTGTCACTCTGGATCTCTTTAACCAGAGGGTCTTTGTATCACCTGCTGTGGAGAGGCAGCCGGGTGGGCATCATGGTGTGCAGACAACCAGGGACTGTTGAGTTGGTGATCCTGCTCTACACTTCCCTTCCCATCCTTTCTACAACAGAGGCTAAGGGTGGAGTAGCAATGGGAGACTCTGAATAGGAAAGAGAAGGCATTTCTGTCAGAGAGGTGTCACAGAACTCTGTCCCCTTGACAGCCCTTTCCCCACTCCCGCAGGGCATTCTGGGAAAATAACTTTTGCTTTTTGTTTTTCTTTCATTTTCAGTTTACCCCTCTACCCGGGCCCACTCAGTCCCCTGTGGGACTCATGAGTCACAGTGGGAAGCCCAAGGGAGTCAGAAGACCCCATCTTGTCTGAATTGAGGCAATTCAGGAAAGAAAACAGACCTCTTGAAAGAAGGTAACAGAACAGACAATGTCTTAGTCACAGTAACCAATTCAGAGTCCTTTCTCTCCTTGTCTGTGTTTGGAGGGGTTCCCCACAGGAGTTCTAAGTTCCCCAGGGGAAGTTACTGTGCCTCCTCCTATCCCAGGATGTAAGACAAGTGCAGAAGCAGCTCAGGTCGTACCTGCAGGCCTGACTGGAAGACAGAGGCCAAAGTTAGGACCATGGGGGCTGGAGTCAGGCGGTCTTAGGTTGGATGGCATCCTGGGCACCCACAGATGTTTGACCTGGACAGATTATAGGTCCCAGCCTCCCTTCCTTCAGTCACAAAATTGAAAGGATGCCTTCTTAAGGAGGCATAGCATGAAGAAAGCTTGTGCAAAGCTTAGTAACCTGTGCTCAACGTGTTTTCCTTAAACGCTTAGCTTTTCTTTCTTTCTTTTTTTTTTTTGTTTGGTTTTTTGAGACAGGGTTTCTCTGTGTAGCCCTGGCTGTCCTGGAACTCACTCAGTAGACCAGGCTGGCCTCGAACTCAGAAATCCGACTGCCTCTGCCTCCCAAGTGCTGGGATTAAAGGCGTCCGCCAGCCACCACTGCCTGGCAAGCCGCAGTTTTCTTAAGGTGACCTCGGAAGAACCAAGTCATAAAAGCTGCCAGTTAGGAAATCCTGAAGTGTACTAGGCCACCTGCAGTGGCTCTTCTCCGCGTTCTACAGACAAAGATGGCTTCGGGAAGATGGCTTCGGGAGGTCGAATAATTTGTTTTGGATCACAAAGCTAGGAGGTGGCCCAACAAGTGCTGTCAAGTCTCCTTTGAGCTGGGAAACAGTCTTTCCAGGGCATGAACTGGCCAATAGAGGGGATTGCTTCCAGCAGAAGGCCTGAGATCACTTTAGAGGCCGATGGTGAGTATGCATTTAGAAACAGTGTATCTGATCCCACACTCTCAACACACCCAGATATTTTGTTTCAACTAATCTAGCTGCTAGGGAATTTATCTTTTTTTTTCTCCTCCAAAGTTTTCAATCATTTTATCTTGTTAGATGTGTGAATATGAGTGTTTCACTTGCCTCTATATATGAGCACCACAGAAGTGCAGTACCCAAGGAGGCCAGAAGAGGGCGTCAGATCTATCTCTTAAAACTGGAGTTTCAGATGGTTGGGAGCCTCCCTGTGGGTGCTGGAAACTGATCCCAGGTCCCCTGTAAGAGGTGCTCCTAAAGGCTGAATCATTTCTCCAGTCTCCACTAGTTTCTGAAAGATTTTTTTAAATGTATACTCTGTGTGTGTCCGTGTGTGACACATAAGTGTGTTAGGTGCCTGAGGATGACAGAAGATGGTGTCAGATTCCCCGAAGCCGCAGTTACAGGTAGTTGTGAACCACCTGGTTTGGTTGCTTGGGACCCAACTCTGATTCTCTGTAAGAGCATAGTGTGCTCACAACTGCCCCTCTTTATCCCCAGCACACGAGAGGCTGAGGCAGAAGGATCTGGAGTCCTGACAACAAATTCAAGGCTAGCCTGCTATACACCTGAATCTCTATGACATGCCAGAGTCTCCGGATTCCATTCTGCTGTCTGTGTCTGTTTCTTTCCCGCCTCCCTGTCACTGATGGACAGTTAGACTCTGGATGTTTGCCCAGCATGGCCTCACTGCTGTTCCCCTTCCTTTTGTGACCCCTTCATTTCCCTTCTGCAGGGTTGTTCCTCCTGTCCTTCCTCACCCCCAAGTCTCTCCTTCTCTGGAATTTTCTCCCCTCCCATCTACCATTCAGAAAGATCTGTGCTGCTTGGAGGTGGGGGAGGGATGCAAGGGCAGTTTTTTTTTTCTTCCACAAAGGCCTCTGTTCCCAAGATAAATGACAATTTAAACAAAGAAATATTTCATTAAGGGTTGATATCTTAATGAGCTGTGCCAGGATCCTTCCAGGCACTCTGTAGACTCCCCCTTACACTAAGAGGGGGCTCCAGCCCCTGCAGGAAGCTTATCAGTTTACCATATTGGCCCGAATAGAAGACCATGCAGTGGAGCTAGGTGGACCCGTCGACCTAGGTGCCAGAGCCCTTGGGAGATGCTTGCAGCAGCCTTGAAATTACCTTAAAGAATTCAGACACTTAGATTTGTGTCTGTGGTGGTGGTGGACACAGGGACTTTAGGCTGATTGGTGGGAAATCTCTCATTAAAGATCAGGAAATGAACAATACCAGGACGAGCTGTGAGGCGTTTTCCATTAATTAGAGACAGCATCAACGGGTCACGTGAGAGCTCCGGCACAGAGAGGTGTGGGGAAAGTGAGTCAGGCAGAGCAGGACCTGGGCGAGCAGCCCTGGTACCTTGTTTTCCCTCTACCTCTCAAGGTAGGTGAAGCTGAGAGACAATCTCAGCGCATGCTTTTAGTCCCAGGACTCAGGTGGCAGGGGCAGGCGGGTCTCTGCGAGTTTGAGGCCAGCCTGGTTTATGTAGCGAGTTCCAGTACACAGGGCTACATAGTGAGACCCTGTCTCAAGAGAATGACAGAAACAGCAAGAATAGCTCGCTATTGCCTTTGCTCGGGCTCTCTCAAGGCCAGGGCTATGACAGTTCTCCTTCGGCCTCAGTGTTTAGACTGCAGGTGAGTGCCGCCATACTATCTACCCACTGTGATGTCACCAGCCACGTCAGCTCTCACTTCCGGAAAGCAAGGCTTCACGTGCACTGCACGAGTCCGTAGAGCTGAGCTACGTTGCTGGCCCCACTCACCCACACAAATAGATCGCGGATGTAAGCTGGACGTAAGGGAAGAGAAAGAGGCTCTCTACACCCCTGTCGGGTGTGGCGTATGAGCTGACCTGTTTCTTAGGTTTCCTTTACACTGCCCCGAGCCGTATTCTATGCCAGTCCTGAACCCCAGCATTCCTTCCTGGTTTATTTCCTCTTCCTGGTCTCCCCCTTATCACTTAAAATCCAGTCTCCTCCAGTCTCATCTGCATTTCACCCCTGGCCTTCTTACCTCAAGATTCCCTCAGTTGCCAGGTAGCTGGAGATTCCTGGAGTTAGCAGCAGAAGGCTTGGTTGAGGCTGGGTGTCCGTGGAGCAGATCGGTACCCTAGACTGAGTGCTAACCATTCTTCACACCACCTCATCGCCAAGGCCACGATGTGGTTGCTGTCTTATGTCTCACCCTGACCGATTGCACACTTTAGCTTCCCATACACCAATGCCTGCTTCTCCTTTCCCCGACGGTTCCCTCCAAGTATCAGAGCCGACTGCTCCACAGGGAGGAATACATAAATGTGGGGAGATAACCCCCTCTACCATCACAGATAGGATCGAATGTATAAATATCTCATTTAAAAAAATCTGCTTATGCATGGATCAGGGTTGCAGCTTAGTGGTAGGCCTCTTGCTTAGTATATATACAGCCTGGAGTCAGACTCCCAGCACCTCAAAAGAGAACAAGAAAAGTAGGAAGGAAGGAGGCACAGAAGCACGGTTATGTAGCAGTTCACACTTGGGAAACTGAGGTGGGAGAATCACTATGAATCGGAGTCCACCCTGGGCTACAGAGTGAATATTAGGTTAGCCTGGGCTAGAGTGAGACCCTGTCTCAGTGAAACAACCACCACCACAAAGGTAACTCTCAGGCATGCACACGTACCCAGGGTTTGCTGGCGGCACTGGGACCACACTTAGCAGCTGACTCGAAAACACATCATTCTTTGTGTTCCTTCCCATTCACATCTCATTTCCTCAATCCTCTGCTGGGGTTCCCGCAAGTCACGTGTTTGCAATGGCGTGGTCCTTTCTGGCTGCTTCTGAGGGCATTGCTATGGTATTTTTGGATAGGACAAGAAGGTCGGTGGACCTTGTAAGTCTCAGGATTACAAAGAGCATGACCTGGGTTCAGTTGGTGGCTTCTGACACAACAGGGATCTCACCCATCTCCTGTGTTTCCCTCAAAGAGTTGGGGTTCAAGGCCGTTTCCTGGTTTTGTGGGGGGGGGGGCTGGAGTTAAGAGCACTGGCAGCTCTTGCAAATGACTCAAGTTTGGATCTCAGTCCCCACATGGTGGCTCCTATTTGTAATTCCAGTTCTGGGAGTGGGGAGAATCTGATGCCCTCTTCTGGCCTTTGATGGCACCAGGCACATGTGTGGTACACATACGTTCAAGTGAAGTACTCATACATACCATAAAATCAAATTCTAAAATATTATGTTGGGCCGGGGGAGATAAAGATGTGGCTCAATGGTTAGGAACACTTGCTGTTCTTGAAGAGGACCGGAGTTCTGTTCCGAGCACACACATTGGATGGTTTACAACCTCCTGAGCTCCAGTTACAGGGGATGCTATGCTCTTTTATACCTCCAAAGGCACCTGTGTAAATGTGCACAGACATACACACATAAACAAACACACATATAAATAAATACAAAATATTTTTTAAGATTTTTTTTGTTTTAATTTGTGAGTGTATGCCACATATGTACAGGTGGCCAAGGAAACCAGGAGAGGGTGTTGGGTCCTCTGTTGCTGAAGTTACCCATGGTTATGAAGTGTCTAGTGTGGATGCTGGGGATGTCCTCTGGAAGAGCAGTAGGTACCCTTAACTTCTGAGGCATCACTCAGTCTTCCTTGGCATTCACAAGACAGGTAGAAGGTGAGGAGTGGGTAGGTCCAGAGGACACAGGCAGGACATAGAAAGTATTTCTGGGCTCTTCAGTCTCCTGTGTCTCCCCTCCGGGTCGCTGGCTGACAGTTGCAGTCAGAACCTGGGATTGTAGACTTGAAAGCCTAGAGCAGTAAAGTCTTATAGGGCCAGAGACAGGGCAAATGAGGAGAAGAGGGCCACCAGGAGGGTGGGACAGAAGATGTCTGTGCTTGGGACTCAGAGATGATAGCTGAAGAATCTTTCCAAGCTTTTGCTTAAACAGCATTCCCTTTGAAAGGGCAGTTGAGGTGAGAGAAGGAGGTTTTGCTGCTTTGTGGTGCTGGGGACTGAACTGAGAACCTTTTACATGCCAGGCGAGTGTTCTGCCACTGTGCTACATGCTCAGTCCAGGGAGGAAGTTCTCCCCGAAGTATGTTCATCCTCTGAATGTGGGATGTCCCCTGCTAAGAACCTTAGGACTGGAGGAGATATTAGTCTACTTCTTTCGAAAAATATTTTTTATGTGCATGGGTGCCTTTGTGCGTGCATACGCGCGCGTGTGTGCGTGTGGATGTGCACACATGTGTTCATCTACCACATATAACAGCCTATGGGGCCAGAAGATGGTATCCTGGAAACTGAAGTTGTAGACAGTTGTGAGGTGCCATGTGAGTTCTGGGAACCAAGTTCAACGAGTGCTCTTAACCACTGAGCCATCTCTCCAGCCCCCACCGTCAGCCTCTTTTATTAATATAAGTGTGGAGACCAGCACCACATGCAGGATGACGGTGTGATAGCTGGAGAGAATGTGGTAGAATCTTCTTGTCTTATATCCTCCCAGAGGCTGGGCAGCCATAAGAATTCTAATGGTTTGTTCAGGAGGCAGTGTCAGGAAACATTGGTGGGGAGTGGGATAGAGAGGGGGGAGAGACGGCAACACTAATGCGGGGAAAGCACGTACCCACGGAGCCTGTGGAATTCACCCAGAGTCCCTGCACAGAGGGCCAGGGAGATGGAGCCTGCATCTCTCTCCCTCAGACCCTCAGGTACTATGCAGACCAGCTTGCAGATGTCTTCTCTTTCCCAAGCGTCCATGTTGGCCTGGACTGGAGAAATGAGTATTTCCTTGACCAGCCAAGGCCCTCCTCAACCCAGCAGAGAGCAGGTGTGGCATTCTAAGTTCATAATCAAATCTGAGAGAGGAGGGAAGGGTCCTGCCACCTGCCACACTCTCTTTTCCCCCTGTGTGGGTTTCGGTGGCTTCGTCCCTAGCCCACTGTTCCCTCTCCTCTGCACTTGGGGTTTTCACGCTTTCTAGAGGAACCCCTATGCTCACACTATCTTCTTGGGCAAGCCCATCTGCTCTCATAGTGTGCTTTAGTTTGAAGTTACTTTATATTGCTTGTCAATATCATAGGTGTATACTGGTCACACATGCTATGATGCATGTGGGGTCAGAAGAGAGCGTCGTGATGTTTCTCTCCTCTCACCTTTACCTGAGTTCTGGGCACTGGACTCAGGTCATAGAATTTGCACCATTGGGTAGCAAGCACCTTTAACCCCCATGCCATCTAGCCCGCCCTTGCGCACTCTCTAGGTTTATTTTATGTCTGTAGGCGTGTTGCTTGCCTGTATGTAGGTATGTATGTACATATGTATGCTACATGCTTACCTAGCAACCTGCAGAAGTCAGAGATCTCCTGGAACTGGAGTTACAGATGGTTGTGATCCCCGTGATGCGGGTGCTGGGAACTGAGATCTGGTCCTTTGGAAGAGCAGCAAGTGCCCTTAACTACTGAGTCACCTCTCTATCCCCTTACTCTCTTGGATTTAACTACCACCTATATGTTGGTGGCTTCTGGTACCATCCTGCCTTCGATTTTTATACCACATCTATGCCTGTGGGCCTTCCAGGATATCACACTCAAAATGTCTCCAACCCTAGTCACCATCACTGAATTTCCGATCCTCCGGCCTCCACCTCCTGAATGCTTGGATTACAGATGTGGACCATCAAGCCTGGTTTATGAGGTTCTGAGGACCAAGTCCTGGACATCGGGCATACTGGGTGACCATGTCATCATTTGAGGCACACCCCCAGCCTCACAGTCAGTGATTTCATTTAAAACATGCTCCTCCTGTGGGTCCACTAAGAGACACTGGGTTCTCCTATCTCTTCCTCTACACATCCAGTCAGCACCTGTCCCACCAAGTGGCTTCCGGAGCCATTTGTTCTCGCCTCTCTGCCCACATGCTGCTTGCCCCTGGGACCTTCATTACTGCTGACTTGGAACATTCTGGTTTTTGAATTCTGGACCCCTATTTCCAGTCTGATTCTCTCTAAGAACCTCCCCTCTGATGCATGCATCATCCATAATGGTCAAAAAGCTCTAAGATAGGAGCTGGAGAGATGGCTCAGCAGTTGAGAGCACTAGCTGCTCTTCCAGAGGACCTGGGTTCAATTCCTAGCACCCACATGGCAGCTCACAATTGTCTGTAACTCCTGTTCCAGGTGATCTGACGCCCTTGCACAGACATATGTGCAGGCAGAACACCAATGTACATAAAAGCAAAC